ATTCTCTCAAGTCACTTGCTTGTCTCTTGATCAATGTTGAAGGTTCCGGTTGTGCCACATTGAATCATTGTTGCACTCAAAGAAGAGTTCTTCCATTAAGCAGATTGTCCTTTTCTTCATCATCTCTTTCATCACATCTGCTTCTGCCTTCATCACAACATACACTTCCTCCTTCACATGCTTAGATAGCCAAGCAGAAACATCCATGTGGGGCACAACCGGATCTTCTGGTGCAACCATGATACTGTGAATCTGAATTTAGGAGATTAAGTCAGAAAGCTGTTCAGCTCAAATCTTATTAGTTCATTTTTTTGGGTGCTAGGCGAGTGTCCTTCCACTCATAGTATTCAAAGTGAATACTATGTTTTTTTTGACTTTATGCGACTGTTTTCATAAAACGTATCCACCCATCCACTTGCAGTTGCCTCAGACGGACCGGACACTTAAAGCCACCAACTGTACATAGAGGGAAATGTTCCATTTTCACTTTTTATTATTAGTGTTTGTGCCATCATTTTTAAAAGTTATTTTAATTTATATTAATTTATTTTTATTAAACTTTTATCCACCTCATGTATATGTTTATTATAATTTTTTTTGTATTACCAGCATTTTAATTTTTTTTTAAATTTAACAAACTTATAAGTTTTTAAACCATCAAAATATTAATAGAAAAATTGAAAACTTTATGTAAGAAATAATAAATAATAAAATCTACAAATAATATATATATATATATATAATTGTTCATATATAAAACAAAATAATAATAATAATAATAATGGTCAGCTTTAACATTTGACTCTCCCCTCCCGCCTTCTGACCCTCTTCTATTTTTTATTTTTTTTCTAATTTACTATATTTTTCTTATTTTAAGTCATCCTTTTAAGATTTAAAAAAATTGTCTGAACTATTTTCACCTCACCCAAGTAATTATCGAGCATTGTTTTTGAGCTGGGATGGTATTCTTAAAAGAAACAAGTGCAACTCACTTTATAGAAAATTTATATATGAGCTTTTGAGGTATACTCATAATTCAAAAGTTTGAGAAATTAAATTTTTAGACTCTCTATTTTTTACGAAGCTGTACTTTAGCACTATGAGCAATTGAGTATAAATTTAGAGATTTTTTAAAATGATTTTAAAATTTTTATTAAATGCTTGTTAGCATTTAGATCTTCTAGCTATTGCCTTACTTGTTCCATACACTAATTTAGTCAGTTATTTATAATTGTGAGTAAATAATGATTATTATAACCAATTATTTATTTAATTCTGATTTTATTCAATTTTTTATGTTAAATTTGTTTATTTAGCTAAATTCAGAAAACATGCCTTTTAAACTCTAATTTTTAGTATTGGATTTTATTTGACTAAGCTCGGTGATATCTATACATGTATTTGAAAAGTATTGAAATTTATTTAATACACACTGAATATATGTTTGGAATTACATTCAATTACACTAAATACATAATGTATAAGCTATAATTTGAATCATTATAGTAAATGTACTTCCATAAAATTTTAAATTGGAAACCCAAAAATGTTACAGTTATACTTAGATAAAGAAAGAAAAATTATAGAAGTCAGCTCTATAATAGTTTTACCCCTTTTTTAAGAATGTAAAACGGGTGAAGAAATAAAAAATATATAATTTGATAAAATAAATAAATATAAAATTTGTTTAAAAGTAAATTTCTGATAACTGATGCAAATTTTCTTCCTTGTTATTTCAGATAAGATAATCGAGTATGATATATTTTTATTTTATCATTTTTAGTATTTATTTAATTAATAAGATAAGATAAATTTAGTTTATAAACTTATTTTATCCTATTTCTTAATGTAAATTTTATTCTATGAAAAATCAAGATTAAAAATAAATTTTATCAAAGTAACACTAAAATTTAATTCTATTTCATTTTTTTAAACGTGAAACCTCCCAAAATTGATGGTGAATGGATGGTAGTAGACTTGTGGCAATGCAATGATGATTAAGGATAACAATCATTAATTACTTTAATGATCACAATTTCTTTTCAACGCCTTCCATAATATATTCTGCCAATTTCTCTTTTTCTCGGTTGATACTAAGTGGAAAAAATGGGAGAAGTTTTCTCTTTTAAAAGAGAGTGCTGACAAACTGAACTGACGTAGCTAATTTTTAGATCCTTATGTTTGCTTCATCACTAATAAGCAGCAAGTATATGTGCAATACAGGTTTATGTTAAACGTAATTTAGATAAAACTTTAAATATGAACTAAAAGAAAATTATTAAAAAAATACTTAAATTATAAGATATTGGCATAATTACTTTTAAAAATACAAAATATATTAAATTTAAAATATTTAAATTCTAAAATACTCAAAGAATTAAAGTTTTAAATATTATTAATATATGCTCAATGATGCACCATAATAATTTATATGTAAACCTTTTTTATTAAGATATCACAAAATCTAATGCATTGATAACATTAAATCCTATAAATTTTTATAAAAAAAAAATCACTATTTATTAATTTTTTATTGTGTCCTTTTAATACATATTAAAAAAATCATTATTCATTACTGATAAAAAAAAAAAAACCTTTGAAAAATTCAAAATAAATTGGGAGCATTAAACATAAGAAAAAAAATGAAGTTAAATTTTTAACAAAAAATAGTGTATCTGATGAAGAAAGAAAATAATTAAAAAATTATTCTATCTTGATTATAAACATTAAACAATTTTATTTAACATGAGCCCTAGTATTTGAGATTGTATGAATCGAGTATTTTAGTTTTTAGTTTTTTTATAACACAAAAAAATGCACTTTAATTCTTTTTGTCTAAAATGATAGTGAAAAGTAAAATAAGTAAGGAATTAGTAGAAGATCTTTAAAATGTATATCCTAAACTTTGAAGATTAATTTCATAATTTACTCATATTCATTGTATAGAAATTCATTTCGATCACCAGTTCCAAATTGCAGAAGTCCAAGTCTCTGTTCCAGTATTACATCTAAAATTGGGTCCAACCAGAACATTTCAGCATAAACATGAAACCTACTAAGTCCACCCACTTCCATTGATGCTCCTGATAAAGCTCACTGAACACCATTTGCAGAGAGAAAAAAAGTTATTAAGCCTAAAGGGTATGCATTTGTGCCTTTTAAAAAGAACAAAAAGTAGACATCAATCAATTCGGTTCATGCTCTTTAGTGAATATTGAGATAAAGGATAAAGGGAATCCCTGAATTCCAGCATTAAGTTTCCGAAATCCAACCACACTTTGGTGTACATGTAACCCAAAGAGTAGACCTCATTATAAGATTTTGGGTATTTGGTGCTTATGCCCTCCACTCTAAGCAAATTAGAATTAATGAAGCATTATGTATATAATTCACATAATTATAAAAATTATTGAGTGGTATAGTACTTTTTAAATTGGATGATTGTAGTTAGTGGGCAAAAATTGGGATTACACTTGATGCTTCTTGCATTTGTGTAATTATCTTATTTTATGTTTTTAATTGTCATGTTCTACAATGATTCATCCAATATACTGTGCTCACTTTGGGTGGGGCAATTGGGTCCTTTGGGTTGGTTCCACCCTTCAATGCCTAATTAATAACAAATAAGATTGCTATTTGCCAAGCCATGGATTGGATTAATTATTTCAGGAGTCAATGACGCATGTTCTGCCTTTATTTTTGTTGTGAACTCTTCAGCTATTTCATTGTCATCATAGTTATTCTAATTATAACTATTCAACCGTATCATAAGAATGCTCATGCTTCTTATAATCACCAATCAAGGGCCACCATCAATTCATTTAATCTTACTATTTTTAAAAAAAATATTTTTATTTAAAAATAATAACATTTTTTATTATTAGTTAAATTTTATTAAAAAATATAAAAAAATTTATGAGTTCTAATTTAATTTAATAACTTTTATTCTTAATTTAAGAATTATTTTTAATAAATTTTAACCAATTAAAAGTGTATCACTAATTCTCTTATGAATTGAGAAAGAATGAGAACTTTATTCAAATTTACATGCCCAAAAAGGAAACTTGTTAAATAATCAAACCTGAATTTTGAAATTCTAATTTAGGCTTTGGTATACCATATTTAATTATAAATCTTGCTTATTAGTGCTTTCAGACATTAGTTAAATTTTTTTTTATTAAATATTATGTTGGACCGTGTTTAAAGTTACCGAAGAAATATAATTATTATATTTTTTTAATAAAAGAATTTTTTTTTTTAATTTCTTAACCTATAACTAACAAAGGGATATCTAGTATACTCAAGCTGAATGCATCTAAGTATCTAATTAATTTGCATGATATAAGTAATGAAGATGAGAAGATATAAAATATCCAGAAATGTTACTTAAATGAAAAAAAAAAAATACTAGTCAGAAGTAATGTCAAAACTATATTTTATTAAAAAGATAAATATCTACCAAACTAACATCCCCATTATGCATTGTAATTAAGTCCACAACTATGGATTTTTCTATTTAGGAATAAACGCTTACAAAATCTCTCATCAAAGCACAATTTGCCCACTAAAGCCCTTAATAAGTATGAAGAAAGTTGCAACTTGAAAAAGGTCAAAATCACCCAAAACTTGTTACAAATATAAAATTATAAAGACTTTTACCAATAACTTATGTCACAACAATGATAGAAGTTCAAGTTATATAATAAACTAACACCTATACAAAAGAATGAAAAAATACTTTTCAAGTAAGTTGCATAATCTTTACATAATATTTACTTTTTGTTTTACACATTTTTCTCCCTTATATCCTTTTTGACTTAAGCGTTTGAATATTTTCTTGAACAACTCTATCCTTCGACAAGAATAGCCTCAATGTCGTTTGAATATTTGCATGATGCAAGTGATGAAAATATAAGAGAGAGAGAGAGAGAGAGAGAGACGATACTTAACACAATCTATAGAATCATATACATTTAACCAATATTTCTCTGAGCATAAATATAATATTAAAAGACACAATGAAAGAACATCTCTTAAATAATTTTATGAATATTCTCTTAAAAATAAAATAAGATTAGTTTGAAGACAGGACGAAGGCAAAAGTGACATTTGATTGTCTATATAGCCGTGGCATCCACAACCAGCAGTACCCCTTTGGACATTTTGTTGTAGTGAATGGTTCCTTCCTTTCTCATTCTCAATCATCTCCTTTTCTCTTCTCTCTTCTCATTGACTCTGCTCAATACAGGACATCCTTTTCCTTCTAATCCATCTGTAAGTATTCAAACACTGTTTCCTAGTTTTTTTTGTTGTGTGGTTTTTCTGTGTTGTCTGCTCTTAACAGTGGGTAACAGGGGGAGGGGGAGGGGGAGTGAAAAGGTGAAAGCTTTAGTTGAATTGGGACTGGGATCCCTTGATGAAACTTAGTTTTGGAGTAAAATCTTACAAGGGTATGTTACTTTTCGTCGTTGGGTCATGTTCTGTTAAATTAACAAACTTCTGTTGTTGAGAAATATGAGGATTGTAATTTTTCTTCTTCTTTTTCTTTGTGTTATGTAGTAATAATGTTGAGAAACATATTTGGTTGAAAGATATTCCCACTAGGCTAAGTGTGCTTCATGATTTATATTTTAGTTGGCAACAAGTGAGTGGTGTGGTGATTTCATTCATTTTCTTTTCTTATTCTCTTATTATTGCCGTTGTGAAGCTACAAGGAATAATTAAGAGGAGGATGGGATTCCTACAGGTTTTATTTTAAATAATTGAACGGTTATGTGTTAGACTTTGTCTGTCTATACTCACAGTTGTTATTGATTTTTTTTTTCTCATTTAATACTTGTCTGTCATATTATCTGATTTCCATTCCAAAAAGCTGCTCTTTTCTATTTGTTATGATGTTTGGTAAAATGATATTATGGTATAAGTGCTATGATATAATCTTGTTTCAGGGATATTGGTTTTTTTGAGTGCATAAAAACAGCCTGAAGATCCAAGTAATTCTGGATATCTAAAGCCACGCAGGAAAAATCAGCATGCGTTGGTTGGGTCTTTCTGTTGATGTGTTCTGCCAAGTTGTACAGTTAAACCTGTATTGCAAAGTTATTCTGTAAATCATCATTCCCATAAACCCTATATTTTTTTCTTCTTGTGTCTTTTTCTTAGCTACAGCCATGGAGGCCAAGGTCATTTCGTCTGATAAGTATAGAATTGGCTAAAATATAGGAAGTGAAAGCAGATTCTGTTATTTTGTATTTTCAGTATGTCCTCAACTCATATTGCTCTCTAGTTCTAGCTGATTCTGATTTTGTATTTAGTTTGGTATCTTCATTGTTATTTTCTATTGGGCGGTTCTTCACCGTGTACAATACAATTAGATTGATTAAGTAGTGTGGAGAGAAACAAAAGAAGCTATGGTGTGCCAAGCAGCAAGCCAAACAAAATTTCGGGCATTGAAACATGAGTATGGCATTGAAGGTGAACCAACAATTATTGTTAGAGTGATAGCATGCTTTCAACCCTTGCATTATTGTCAGGTTAGTAACACAATACTGATTGTTGATGTTTTCCAGTTTCACTTTTTTTCAATAACTATGAAACTTGTTTTATGAAAATTTCCTTATATCTCTGTATTGCAGCAGAAGACATGAATATTGTGACCTTTGAACACTAAAGCTTTTATTATCAGTTATTAGATAGTTTTAGGAGCTCAATGAGTGATTGGTGCTATCTTCTGCTCTTTGCAGGCTGAGTACTTCCGTCATTTGCTTAAGCCTGTCACGTAGATTGATTTACATTTCCTTCTCAATAAGCTGGAGTTTGTAGTTTTCCTTTTTTTTTCCCCTTTGTTCCTTAGAAAAGCAACAAGTTACCTCCAAAAACTTCATATAAGAGCACCATAACATCTACTGGTACATATTTTCAAATACTTTTTTTTTTTTCAACTCTACGGCATGAAGAATCTCATATTTGGCATTGACTCATTGGTTCTATTGTTTTGTAGGACATTTGTTTTATTGGATGGTTAAGGCTGACAGGCCTAGGCCATGCCCACACCACGTGGCTTGGCAATCTCCTCCTTTGAATTACTTCAGCATGTTGCAGAAGCCCAGCTTACTTGGTCTTCCAACATGTCTGAATTCTAGCACTTGCATCTTTCCTGCTGACTGTACATTTCCTGGGCTCGCGGCTCCTGCTATCCCAAGTCTGAATACTGAGCTAACAAATGTGCAGGGATTCCTTCAGTATCCCAATGCAGACACAAGCTTGAAAGAGACACATGTTGGAGGATCTTTGCAAAATGCAAATCCTTCTTTGCAGAAGAAGTTATTGATCTTTGACCGCTCTGGGAATAAGACTAGGTTGTTTTATGGTCCTGTCCTCCCTCTTGTCCAGAGTCCAACTGGTACTGCTACAAAGTTTGCTCAAAGTTATGACATAAATGGGGATGGACAGGCCAGTAATATAGGTCAAAAGCATCTAGCCAATTACAGTTTACCTGAAGAGTCTGTTAAGGATCATATATTTCTTGAAGAAAGTGAAAAGCATGAAGATACAGAAGAAATTAATGCATTGCTTTATTCTGATGATGACAGCAATGAAGATGATGATGACAATTGTGATGAGGTAACAAGTACAGATCGTTCCCCTTTGGCAACTAAAAGAATTTACTCGATACAAGAACAATTTGAAGACATGAAGGAGGAAGTTGCAAGCTCTGAGTGGCCTAGCAAAAGGCTGAAGTTAATTGATGGTGACTACAACAGATCATCCCCACATGTGGACAATGCTAGTTTGGTAAGACCAAATGAAACCTGTGATTGTGTCAGTGATGCCGAATCAAAGAATTCTAGTGGCTGGACATATTCTATTGATAAAACTAAAGTAGATAATCCAGTGGCATGTGATATCAAATTGACAAAGGATAAGATTCGTGAATCACTGAGAGTTCTTGAGAATTTAATTCCTGGTGCAAAAGGAAAGGAGCCACTGTTAGTCATTGATGGAACTATTAAATACTTAAAACATTTGATGTCCCAAACTGGTGGTGCTCGTGGAGTGAGATATCACTAAGTACTCACAGCCACTGAGGTTGTAGTATATTGGTTGAAGGACACATTTTCATGTTGAAAAGATGTAGTTCCTAGAATCCTTAGCGTTGTTGATTGATGTGATTGTCTATTTGCCTTAGCATGTTTTCATCTTTTCTTTCTTTAATCCTCTGTCTTGAGGTGTATATATGGCTGGGAAATAAAGGTACTAACTCTGAAATAGATAGTACTTCACTTTGCCACTGCAGTTGGAGAAAAATGCGGGAAGGGGTTTCAATTTGTTGACCAAAATGATTGTCCTGTAGCTTTTCTGGAGGGCTAAAGGTCACAGATTGAAGGGATGGGAGATGGTAGTGGTGGGCTATGCTGTTAAATGAGAACACTTTTTTCCCTCAAGTGTTGCACTCTCTTGGTGATTGACTGCATGCGCATTAGTTAACTGGGGTCCCACTCTCCACCCTTCTTTTCATTCTTGGGTTTGTGCTTTTTTGTCCTCTCTCTCAAGGTTGCAAGCATATCATGCTGGCATCAACTCTAAAGTACTAAGAAAGGTTCTTGATGTTTGGCAGGGAGAGTGCTTGAAAAGAGAGTGTGGTGTTTCATCATTAGTTGCTGGGGCCCTTTGTTTGGATATAGCATTTGTGGTAAAGGTTACTTTGTTTTACATGTTGAGGGAGGAATGATGACAAGCAATTTGAGTTTCTGCTTTGTAATTCATAGGTGGGTTGAGTAGTCTAAGGTCTCTTTTTCATGATGTTATTATGTATCTGTCGGTTGTGTGATTGTGTGAATAATTGTGTATGCTAATGTTGGGCGTGTATGTAGATGCGGGTTTGAGTGTGTTCATCTTGTAAGTTGTTATCTGATTTATTTTTATGTTTGTACATACATTTTCTATCAATATGTGATTCCTCATTTCCTGTTACTTGTATATTTTTGCATGCAACTCTGCATCAAAATATGATTGTTTTATGAGAAGGAAAACAATACTTAAGTTTGATACACTATAAAAAATTATATTGTCTACTAATTAGAATACATTTACTTTATAAGACGTTTAATTTAGCTATGTAAAAGTCAATGATTTTCAATATGTGAATCTATGATTAGTTGTAAGTGTAAAAAAAAAAATTATACTCGAGAGTATTTCAATTAAATATGGAGTGAACTTTAGATGGAAAAAAAATGCAATGTTATAACTGCAAAAAAACTCGAGTTATAACTATTAGTTAAAAAGTTAATGATTGTAAGTATAAAAACTTAGTATTGTTTCACAAAAGCTATTATAAATTATAATAAAAAAATTAAATTTAAAAGTCAAAAAATGAGAAGGAAAGAAAAGAGTCGAAATCAATGAATATTCAAAAGATTAACTAATTATAAAAGGTTTAATATTGTACTTTTATCTACGATCTTTTTTTTATATATTTTTTTTACTTTTTATCTTTTCACGAATTAATTCTTGACTATAGACTTAATTATTCATTTCAATTTTACTATTATCCAAAAGAATAGCATTTTTTTTCTCCATTTATAAATATTTTAAACAATCATGCAATATAACTAATAATGAAGAAAGTACAAAAAAACTAATGAGTCTATTAATCAATTTATTTCATGAATTTAATAACTAGATAACAGTACAATTGTCTTTTATCTAATTTACCAAGGGTTATTAAAAATGATCAATTTTTAATAATAAAATAAAAGTGATGAGACAAACATTACGAGTATATAAGTATTTATATTTTAAGAAAGAGTTAAAAATCAATTTACATTATAAGATTTACTCTAATTCATGACAATAAAAATATAGAATCAAACTAAATTCCAAAAATAATTCATAATTTTATCTAAAATATACTTAAAAGCAAAACCTTTATGTATACATATGCTTTATCGTCAATAAGTAAGAGGCCAATCCTACGCGTAGTTGATAGTTTTGAAGTTCTAATCCTTTTATGAGCAAGAGAAACAAGGAATTAACAAGAAAAAAAACTTCTTATATATATATATATATATATATATATATATAATATTAATAAAATATATTAAACTTTAATTTAAAAATTTGAATTGAGCATGTTTGTCCAGGTTTTAAATTTCCTAAAATACTTCTATTTATATATATTTTTTTCTCTAAGAAGTACCATTCAGTTTTTTTACATGTTTCCACAATAAATTTTTTTTAAAAATCAATTAATAAGTTTAAATAATTAATAATTTACCTAAAATCCTATAAATAAATTGACAAAATGATGATTAATCAACTAATTTAAAAGAATAGTTTTTAATTCTATGATAATTTGTTATTGATAACAGTATGAAAAAATTTATCTTGTTAAGTATATTTTAATTAAATTATTTTTTTATTTTGATAATTTATATGTAGATTTTGAGAACTACATAATTTTTTAATATAAATAAAATTAATAAATAAAAATGAATAATAGATCTTTCATAATTTATTTTATTTAATTTATTAAGTAAAGCTAAATTAAATTATGTTCTATAAAATAAGTTATTTGAATTGAGACACGTCATCTAAAATAATGTCAATAGTTAAATTTAAGATTTAAATTGAGATTAATTAACTTTATATTTCTTAATTTAAAAGAAATAAAATTAGAATACTTAATGCACAAAAAAAGTTATGCGACTTAATAAAAACAAAAAATTAAAAATATACTTATTTAAGATTAAAGACTTAGATTTATAATATAAGAATAGATAAAATGAAATGCTGAAAATTATTTTATTTAGAAAAAAGAATTTGGGCGTTGCTAATATCTTGCTAATTAAATTTAACATAAAAAAATAGAGAAAAATATTTAGACATAGATAAAATCCATGTAAAACTAAACAATGTATTTATTCAATTTAAGAATTGAATGATAGACCCTTACAAGTGAAAATTAGCCAGATAATTTTTGTTTTTCAAAAGCTTGTTTATTTTCTTTAGACCACAGTAGGGATAAAATTTATTCAGATTATTGATCGGAAGCTTGTGACCTAACTAACATTGGATTTAGATTTAAGTTAAGTTATACTTATTTCTTTAATAGATTAAGTTAATATTTTTTTAAATAAAATTATTTAATTAAAAAGGTCTGACTTCAAGTTAGTTTAACAAATCGACCTTCTTATATAAACATAGATGATAATGATGTAATATTTTAAAATTATGTATTCATTTTATTTAAAGGCTAAAGTTTATTGTTTTACATATAAATTTATATTTATTAATAAAACTGAGGAGAAAGGTAAAAAATAACTAAAAACTAATATTTGTATCTTAAAATCTAATCATGGTACAACAGCAACAGCAGTTGTGGATTAGGAAACATTTGAATACAAATGTTTGTCTATGAAAATTATTGGGTTTGGTCACTTTACAGTAATCCAAGTCCTTGAAGATTTTGAATCCGAATGAGTTTTAATTTAAATATTAAAAAGATTGACAAATTAAGGTTAATGAATTAACTTGTGGAGGGTCTAGAAATTATTCAACCTGTGATGGGGTTATCAAATTGAAATTGCTTGGGATTAACACAAGTTTTGCTAGTTACGAATCCTTGTCTTCTTATTAGCAGACAAAAGAGGCAATTATCAAGAAGAATTTGGCATCGGGGTTGACCATAATGCACTGCAATGACTGCTTCTTGAACAAATGACTAACATTAATTAATTGCATATCTACAATCATGGATGGTCACTGTTACTATTTAGAACTAGTTATGGTATGGAGAATGTTTAACTCAAAACTTTAAGCGATAACTATGACTTAGTCAGATCAGTGATAATAATATTAGAACTGTCTCTCTCAGAGCAGAATAATTGATTCCAATACATGCCAAGGGATATCAGAATCAAATATTGCTTATGAATAAAAATGTGAGTTAGCATCAAAAGATTATTATTAACAGATAACTCCACCCAGTCTTTTCTCATATGCCTCTCTTTAGTTGATGATTTGAAAGCATAAAATAAGCTGCCACTGTTCTAATTTTATTGAAAGTTTTTTTATTGGTTATCTTGCCTCATTGAGGCCTAAGGTTTTGTCACATTATAACTATCACTATGACATGATTTATATATGATGGAACATCTAATCATGTTTTTTCATTTATTTTATGATCTGATTATTTTCATTAAAAAAATTCAAATCTAAATTACACAAGTCTCTCTTCAATTTAGAGGTATGGGTTGAGCTAATTTTGTCATTGGCGTTCAAGCTAATGCTTCTAGCGTTTCTTTCTTGAGTTTGTCTTTTTTTCTTTTCTTTTTTCCTTTTTCTAATGTAACAAAATAATAATAACAATAGAAGCATGTCTAACTATCATAACGAACTGATATTAATGCCTAATATTGATCAAAGGACAAAATCTTTTCATGTTACATTTCTTTTTACTTGTACAAAGCATGAGGACAAAGTCTCTTCATCTTTCTTTTCTTTCAAATTTTCTCTTACATTGTTGAGTTGTGGGAAAAAAAATCTTATTTAAACAAACTTTTAATTTAGAAATTTTCTTTTCAATTTATCTTTTTTAAAAATTAACTTTAAAGATAATTTTTTTTATCATATAATGACAAAATTTAGTTTTAATCTTTCATTTTTTTTAATTAACTTTACTCCTCAATTTTTTTAAATAAACTCTATTAATGTGTGGCATGCATTTAATTATACTGTGTCAGTGACATGTTATGAAGATTAAAATGAACAAAAATAATTAAAAGAGTAAAATTAAATATCTACATTTTTTAAAATATTAAAAATATATTTTACTCAAAAAATCATATTTAGCATGCACAAGTTATATAATCTAATGTAGATTGCAGAAGAACTCACAGGATGTAGAAATATTAATTAATGTAAATTTAGGTGTCCATTTTATCCTGAGTACTTTAACTAAAGTTTCTTAAATGTGCATTGATTACAAATTTATAAAAAGAGATGCATTTAAGAAGTGCTTGTCGAACTCACATAGGAAACTATAATTAGATTTAGTGACAAATTACAATGTAGTTTGAATTTCGTACGGATTTCTATAAAAGAAAAAAGAAAAAGAATTAAACCAAGAGAAGCCATGCATTGTCTGGAATAGAAGGGAAAGGAATATGACAAAAAAGGAAAGAAACAAAAAGTCTGGAACACACAAATTAATATGAGAGGTATTAGTTCCAAATTCCAATCCAAGGCAATTAAGAAATTCTTATCTCAGGATATTGAGTTTCTCCACCTTCTAGTTGTTTTTCTGTTCTGTTCTTCTGAAGTTGGAATAGGTGCAATATCTTGATTTTCTACATTAGTCATTTTTGTAAGTTTGCTTAGTTTCTTCCACCCAGTGCTCCATGCTGATGTGTGCTTCTGCTTCAGCAACTTATCAAATTGTTTCTGCAGATTTTCCATATCATTTTGAAGCTCTAAATACTTGGTTTTCACAGTCTCAAGATCAAACTTCAGTGTGTTAATGTCTTTCTTAGCTGCTGCCCACCCTTCTTGGAATGATTGTGGTGTCCCCTCTAGAAGTGTTTTCCGGTTTGGAATCATTGGCTGGTAGTGAGATTCAACACCTTCTTTTAGAGAACTGTTGGCCAGAGCATTGCTTATCTTCACTTGTTCAGAGAATAGAACTTGCACCACTACCCTTAAAGGAAGCCTTTCATTTTGGGCAGCATGCATGCAAGCATCAATGGAGAGTTTCTGACAATCCATTACACGGCACAGCCTCTTCCTTTCATGTTCAGTTAGTGTTGGATGTGCCTGTTAATTTATTTCACTGATATAAGAACTGCACAAGTACACATCTATTGGCATATCTATAGATAAACCACTATACATTACTAGTTGACTACTTATCCTTCTAAAATGAGTGAAAAACACACCAATCAGAGAAATGATTGACACTAAACTTACCATCT